TATGTAATTGACAAGGCTTAGACAACTGACATCCAATCCACATGTCAAGGAATTCAAACTTTAACAGCAATCACACGGGCAAATTTCTCAAAACTATGCTAGAGGTTCATTCATTGGCACAGAAGTACACTATAATGTCAGACATCATGAAGGAAAAATTCAAATTTACACAGCTTAAGGGTAGACCTCCCTTTGAAGTAAGAACGTGCCTTCTCAATAGATATTTTTTCTCAAATAAAAACGTAGATTTAATCTGCCTTGCACTGACGAAATCGCGGAAGTGTTTATTACAAAAGATCCATCCACACGATTTTAACACTATCTGAATGTTCTTCAAAAAGGAGATGAAACCAGTTAACATAGGCCTAATAATAACTCCAATGACGTACTGGAAATATTTTATTCATTGAATAATCAAACCATAATACGGTATTTTTTAACTTACACAATAGTCATTATTATTTTGAAAACTTATTTACTACTCATTAAACATAGCTAAATGGTAAAGTTTTGATCATTTAACTCTATTTATCCCAGTTAAATGAATTAGCATAAGCCTTGAAAGTAACCATCGATTTTGACGGGTTTCACCTAGTTAAGTATGATTTTGATGTTTGTTTACCTAAGGTTAAAAGTAGATTAATCAGAGGTAATAGTAATTGGATTACAGATGATATTATAAATACAATAATTAATTGATGTTTTAAATTTGAGTAAGGCCTCGTTCACACGTATTGACTTTCCGCCGTGCGCGGCACGGCACCGTGCATTCCTGAACCGCGCCGTGGACCACCCGACTTGCGCCATGAACAACACGACTTGCGCCGTGCGTAGATGACTTCTTGCCACATTTCTTCAGTCTGTAAAATGGATAACCAAACAAGTATGCTATTTTTATACTTGCTACATCGTCAAAGCAAAAGGAGGCGTAGTAAGCTAAAGTGGGTACACCCTATAAACGTGCAAAGGCCAATAACAGGAGCATTCGTTCTTCTTTTCAGTTCTTTTCTTTTCTAAGAAAGAACAAAAGTAAATTTTATAATTATTTTTTCGAATGTCAGTTGCTTCAATCGATGAACTGTTAGTAAAAGTGCAAGGAGAAACAGAACACTAAGATGAGAAAGCCGTCCCAGCTGTGGAGAGACTTAGCGTTACTCTCAGGTTTTGCGCTAAAATGTGTATTTTATGTATCATACAAATTATGTCAGCTGACTTAATTTCCAAATAAATCTGGTTAATCTTTACAAACGAGCTTTGTGGCGCATCTTAAGGCATGACTTTACTGTTTAAAAACTAATGTTTTATAGCAAATAATACTATGAACCTGTGAACTGTTCACATTAAGTTATTTTTACAAATTTTTTACAAAAGTGGAAGATTCCGCCTTTTGTGATGGATGTACTACACCTCTCGAATCCAGGAAGACACTGAAATAAACAATGTCTGCGCATACGCTAGACCGAGTCGGGACGGCCCCGTGTCCACCTGTGTGAACGCATCCATAAGAAACCATGGTGTTCAAGAGGTCGAGTACGGCGCGACGCCGGGTCGTCGCTTGAAGAATTTCGTGATGTCCACGGCCGCCATGGCGCCGTTGTCGATACGAGTGAACAGTTGCATTTACAGCAATGCTATTGAATAAACACGACGTCGTGCCGTACACGGCGCACGGCAGGAAGTCGATACGTGTGAACGAGGCCTAATACTGCTAGAAATGTTAAGATAAATCAATTCAAAATATTCTGATAAAAAAGGAACTAAAAACTACAGTTCCTAAATTACTTTAAATTTAGTGAATTTGAAGTCATTGAAACTAAATGTCATTATTATCATAACTTATTCGAAAAATCACAAATGTCAGTAAAACTATATGGGATATTGTAAATAGGGAAGTTGGAGCAAATCATAAATCAAGCCATGGTGAAATTTTAGGTTTACCATATATTAAAGCCAATAAATGCATAGACATAGAAGAGGTCTGCCATCTCTTCAATGATTACTATAATACAACGATAGTTGAAAATGACATATTGTCCAAACTAAAATCTTCTACTGGTTCAAAAAAATATTATTTCACCCTCCAGAAAGTTTATATCAAAATTCAGTCCTTCACCAATTACTTATAAAAAGCTGGACAACAGTATAACTTCTTTTGATAATAGATTTTCTACTGGCTGGGATAAATACCAATGCCAATAATTAAACAGGCTCGTTTATATATATTACCTATTACCATTACTACAAGTTATAAACTGTTCTTTCATCTCTGGAATTTTTCCTGAAAATTTAAAAAAAATCTAAAATTGAACCTTGTTATAAAAATGGTTACCCAGAGGAAATGTGTAATTACAGGCCTACCTCATTGTTATGCTAAATTTCCCAAACTTTTGTGCAAGTTATGCATATACAAATTTCAACATTCTTAGAGGAAAATAATTAATAGATAAAGAACAACATGGTTTTAGAGAAGGAAGGTCTGTGATTGACTCATGATTTGATTTCTGTGAATCTATAATTAATTAAATTGATTCAAAGGAAAAAGTCGTTGGAATATTCTTGGACTTAACAAAAGCCTTTGATAGTGTTTCACATGATTTACTTCTTGATAATCTTAAATGTATAGGTGTAAAAGGGGGAGCTTGGCTTTGGTTTGAATATTATCTTACAGGCAAACAGCAGTATGTTGTAATTGATAAATAGAATAGCCATAACCAATTAATTACTTACATTTCCTCAACAAAAGTTGTTAAGTATGGTCATAGACAAAAAGAATTAAATATAGACCGCCAGCTGTGCTGCGGTTACCATAGGTTCTGGTACACACCACTGGGAGCGCCATGTAGAGACGGCGTACGCCTATGTAACTACACTGCGCTCCCAGCGGTGTGCGCCAGAATCTATGGTAAACATGGTAACCGCAGCACGGCTGACAGTCTATATTTAATTCTCTTTGTCTATGGCATGGTGTCCCTCAAGGATCAATATTGATTGGGGCCCCTATTTTTTCAGGGCCGGATTTCCCAATAGGCCCGGTAGGCCTGGGCCTATGGGCGCAAGGTCCCAGAGGGCGCACGGCCAGGAGACAATTTTTTTTATACCTAGGCTATCTAAAAATAGTCATACCGGTAGTTGATAAAAAAAACTCCAAAGCATTGTGATTCTGAAGTTCATAAGAAGAAATAATTGTTAGGAAATTTAAACTAGTTTATGGGAGTAGGCTGTAGGGATGTTGACGTTGACGAGCGCCCAAGGGGTACGCATCGTATTGCCACTGCACTGCCACTATGTTGGCTAGGGATCAGAGTGATTAGGGGCGCACGCGTGCTAGACATTGTTACCATCCTAGAAGAAATATAACCTAGATGCAAGTACGACCATAGATTAAATATAACTCAAGTCGACTTCTTATGACATTGTTAATTCAACATTTTGTTCATGTTGGTGACACTGGACGTTAGTTTTGACGTAATTTTGTTTCTATTATTTGAGGGTTAGTTCTATGATGTGTGTTTTAATTTCTTGTAATATAAAAAGGAGACGACCTATTGTTAATGATTAGATCGTTTTATTTTGGATAAACTAGGTTTAAACATAGATAAATCATACTCATTATATAACAAGAATTGTTTAAGCTAATCCAAAATGATGACAAATCTACTAAAGAAGTATGTTTAATCTATGGTATCACGCACTGTATGGAGTTCATGTTTTTGGGCCTGGAATTGGAATCAATGGCCATGTTTTTTATTTTTTGCAGGAATGCTCGGTGGGTTGAGTTGTTTTGTTTCAGTCGCACGGCCACAAACGTGAGCATTTATTAAAAACATAAAATTGCTAAAAATGTTTAGACGGCATTTTGTTAAGCCTAAACAAGTCAATTCTTAAAAATAAAAACTTGCAATGATTCCAACGAGGAGTGGTATTCAAGTAATTAACTTAGGCCTATGGGCATGATGTTATAGTTTTTAATAAAGGTTTGAAGGAAAGTAACTGTGACCAGCAGCCTAGGGGGCGGAAAATTATTTGGGCCTAGGGGTGCAAAAATGCTAAATCCGGCCCTGTATTTTTTCTTAATTTACTTGACTGACTTTCCCTCATTGATAGAATCTCCAAATCATGTTTGTTTATTTGCTGATGACATCAATATAAAAATGTCCGGTAATTCAAATTCTGATGAGGAAGTCTCTTCTTTTGTTGACTTTCCAAATGTATTAAACATTTAAATTAAATCCATTTATCACCAAATGCAATAAAAACTAATTAGCCTATTTCAATTTTTCTTCAACTAGCAAAAATGCAGCTGGGTTAAATATTTTTATGGATACAATTTTACTAATGAAGTTAAAACAATAAAATTTCTTGGTTTGCATATAAATGATAAATTTAACTGGGACAGTCATATTGAAAACGTTTGTAAAAAGTCACTTCAGGCATATATGCATTAAGACAGATGTCAAAATTTAGTAATCTAAAAACCTTAAAAATGGTACAGTATATTATTCCTTAATTGAATCACACAGTTCTTTTAGGTTGTGTCTTTATGTGGGCACATAAAATTTTAGTCTAAATAGCATTCTGGAAGATAAGAAAAAAACAATTCGCCTCATGTTAAAACTAAAATCAAAAGAATCCACTAAAGAGCACTTTAAAGAAATAAGAATCATGACTGTTTTCAGCTTATACATTTACTATCCTAAACTCAAAGCACCACACACACACGTTGTAAAGGTCACTATGTAGGCCTATTGCAAAATCATTACTTTTAATTTTTTTCTTGTTGTCTACACCCATGGCATTTTTTACAGAAGGTATTGCAGAGTACTTGCAGTATTTACTTTTAAACCCTTTTAGAGCAAGCAATCCAAACCCATATGTTTTGTGGATGCCAGGAATCGAACCCGGTCCTCCGTTAAGATTTTTGGCCTACATAGCTGGGATCAACTAGAAAGAACATATACACATTAATTTATAGATTGACAGAATAGTAAAAAAATGTTCACCTTTAAGTAGTTCAACAGCGACATAATCAGCAGCACGATACAATTCAGCCTTCAAGAGGCACTGAAGCAACACAGAAACAGTTGGTCGACATTTACCACTAGTGCTCCATTCCTCAAGAAGTATTTCCGAAAAGGGACGTTTTTGGCACATTCCTGCGTTTTCAATTAACCTATAAAAAAAAAATGTAAACTAGATCAAAGCTTGTTAGCGATTTATTGAACTGTTTCTTAAACCTATGAGAGTTCAATTTGAAACTAGTTTAACTTACCGCTATATAGCCTATTATCAGTCAACTCATAACAAAGGCTTAGACATCGTAACAAAAATGTTCCTTTACAAAAATCGTAACAATGTCAATAGCGTTAAGAACTCAAATAAGTTTACTAAACTTAGTCTATAAGTAACAAATCTATATGCTAAGTGGCAAAATGTATATTAATTGATATAGGCCTTGTAGTCTATCTATAGCTAAGTTATTTGCATTAGATCTACAGTAATAACTTATTTATTTATTTATTTATCTACAGTTCAACGGTGCAACACCAATTTACAATTGAAATCAAATTTGTATGGCTAACAAGAGAAGTTGATAATAACATACAAAACGATGCCTAATATCATAGACAAAAATAGAAAAAAAAAACCGTCAGCTGTGCTGCGGTTAGCAGAAGTTTTGGCGTTCACCGCTAGGTTTGCCGTGTAGTTGCCGGCCGAACCGCTGCAGCATATGCTGGTCGCAAACGGCTCCTGCGCTCCTTGCCTGCAGCAATGAGTGCCGTAACTACACGGCAAACCTAGCGGTGGGCGCCAGAACCTTCCTTTGACAGTCTATATTTATCCTATTTGTCTATGCTAATATGGACTGTACACAGGAATATTGAAATGAAAACATGCAGGAACAACTTTGCCGCAGTGACAGTACATGCATAACACGATGACAAGATATATGAGACGGATTCACAAAATGATTCGAAAGAACATGGGTGCAAGCTAATAATAAATGCAAAAATGACAATGTTAACAAAACAATAATGATGACAGGACTGTATGATCTGGTGCGACAGCAATGTATGTAAATAATAAGGCAATAGACTAAACTACAAAAAAAATGTTTGATGTAAATGCCTGAATTTCAACAATAGCTCTACAGAACTTTACAACAAATGTATTACTAGCACAGGTTACAACAATGCTTTGAGACAAATGTCTCATGTATGCAATATTAACACTCTCAAATCAATCTATTTTGCTCTGATCAACTCGCATATGGCTTATGGTATTGCTATATCTAACAAAAAACCACTAAGTGGTAACACTTCCCCCGCCAAGTCAGCAACCCAAAAAAGACAATAAATCACCACTTTTCCGCCAAGTAAAACAATGTAATGTATGTAAGTTTGGCAACTTGGCGGCAGACTTTTGCTTGTTTTTTTTTTTCATTAAAGTTACGTTGGTGGATAATTTCACAAATCAACTTCTCTAATTAATTAGTCCAACTAAGTATAATAATTTCGAGGTAATCAGTAAATATAAAACCATCACTATTATGATTTTATGAAATGTGACACAAATAAGGTCAAATTTTGTAAAATAAGCTCTCATCTAGCAATGTACTATTGGGAGAGATACTTGCTCAATGAAACTAATTTTATGGTATTTTTTAAAGTGATCAAGCAAAAGTCTGCCGCCAAGTGGCCAAACATACATACATTACATGGTTTTACTTGGCGGAAAAGTGGTGATTTATTGTCTTTTTTGGGTTGCTGACTTGGCGGGGGAAGTGTTACCACTTAGTGGTTTTTTGTTAGATTGTATTTATTTTTGTAGAAAATTAACAGTTAAAATAAAAATCCTCTTTTCTCTTATATATAGACCAGGGCACAACTACACATAAAATGCATTGGTGTTACATAAGTGTTCCGATAATTAAACCCGTATATCTAAAGACTAGTGTAAATTGAGCCCTTATTAGAGAAGTAAAAATGTAATCAAACAGATTAGGTTTGTTAGAAATAGCATAAGGCAAAACAAATATTGAAAAACTCATTTTTATCCTAAATTTACATATCACTTTTTACATTCACTTTTTTGCTTGTTTAACATACGTAGACGGATTTTCCCGATTGTTTTATTTGTTTTAGTGTATCAAAACATAAAACTAACCCTATTTAGTTAAATAAATTTTGGCAATATTATGAAGAAACAATGTTAAAACTAACCTTAGTACTAGTACTAAGTTTCAAGTTCCTAGGTTTCATATGTTTTGATAAGTAGTATTAAACTGTTAAAAATGACGAGCTGCTGTACCAGTGTACCATCGGTACACTGCATTTTTCAATGGAAAGTATCGGGGAATATCACTGCTCTAAGTAATTTTATATAGTAAGTAGCTCAAATCATTCGGTATACCTGAAAAAAAATACTTTATAAAAGTTTTAAAATAATTTTTCAGCTGATCCTATGAATTTCTCTAACATTTTAAATTAATTGAGATTTAATCGCAGCTGATCCTTCTTTTGTTTTGATTTTAATCCCATGTTATTTAAATGGGCCAAAATCGTACTTTGAGGGCTTGCCAAGGGTTTATGGGTCAACGCACCGACTTGTGACCCTCAAAAGGCACATCTACACGCTAAGGGCTTTCAAACAACATAAAAAACATTAAAATTGAGCCAGTGGTTTGGGCTGTAGGTCCGTCAACATTTAAGGAGAAGAAGGAGAACACGGAAAATTTGTGAATTTTCAAACTAGTTTTTCTTGGCTCAAACACAACCTTTTTTTAAATTCTTTTTTTTATTTTGCCAAGAATGATTGCCCCTATCCAGTGGATGAACAATTATTTTAATAGCTTTTGTTTCTTCAGAGCTATAGACGAGTAAAAAAGCCACTTTGTCACGTCATGTATATATACACTGCAGCAGCTGTGTACCGCTGGGGGACTTGGCGGGGCGGAACGCTGCCGCGTTCCTTAATATGGCGGGACTAGCAATAAAAACCTTAAAAAAATTCTGAAACAGCAAAAGAAAGCATTACGAATTATCTTTAATATAAAAAATAGAAAATCCACAAAACCATACTTTTCCAAATTAGGAATCATGACAGTTTATGACCTATATACAGGGTGGCTGAAAAGTAACTTGCACCCCCCCCTTAACTTTTCAACCATTTGAGATATTTGAAATCGGTTTGCGGCAACCTTCTTAGATATGAGGGGCTACAATAATTATGGTCAATTTGGAAAATTTTGCCCTTAGGGGTAGCGGGGGTAGGGGGTAGCTCAAAATTTTCAAATGACAAGTATAGTCGAGTTTGGTATCATTTTACAGGTCTTGACGAAACATTAACATTGACATAAAGAAAACCAAAATCGGCTCGCTAATAACAAAATGGCGCCCTAAAACGTTTCAAATCCAAATAACCATGAGGGTGACAAAAAATTAACTTGCACCCTCTTTAACTTTTAAACTATTTAAGATAATTGAAATCGGTTTGCGGCAAATTGTTTGAATATTAAGGGCTACAATAATTATGGTCAGTTTTGAAAATTTTGCCCTTAGGGGTAGCTTGGGTAGGGGGTAGCTTAAAATTTTCAAATAGCAAGTATAGTCGAGTTTGGTATCATTGTTTTGGTCTTGACGAATTATAACAATTAACATAAACAAAATAGAAATCGGAGCATTAAAAACAAAATGGCAGCTAAAAATGATTGAAAAAATGGTTATTTAAAGTAATTTTGAACTGCCATTTTGTTATTAATGGTCCGATTTCTATTTTCTTTATGTTAATTGTTATGTTTCGTCAAGACCTACAAAATGATACCAAACTCGACTATACTTGCTATTTGAAAATTTTGAGCTTCCCTCTACCCCCGCTACCCCTAAGGGCAAAATTTTCAAAACTGACCATAATTATTGTAGCCTTTATATCCAAACAAGTTGCCGCAAACCGATTTCAAATATCTCAAATAGTTAAAAAGTTAAAGAGGGTGCAAGTTAATTTTTTTCCACCCTCATGGTTATTTGGATTTGAAACGTTTTAAGGCACCTTTTTGTTATTAGTGAGCCGATTTTGGTTTTCTTTATGTCAATGTTTATGTTTCATCAAGACCTGTAAACTGATACCAAACTCGACTATACTTGCCATTTGAAAATTTTGAGCTACCCCCTCCCCCCGCTACCCCCAAGGGCAAAATTTTCAAAATTGACCATAATTATTGTAGCCCCTCATATCTAAGAAGGTTGCCGCAAACCGATTTCAAATATCTCAAATGGTTGAAAAGTTAAGGGGGGGGGGTGCAAGTTACTTTTCAGCGACCCTGTATATTTGAAACCATTTAACATGTAAAAAAATTAAACACACAAAAATACAGTAAAAAATCACATACATACAACTTGAGAAATAACAGATATATAGAACCGCATAAATTACAGATTTTTGAAAATAAAACAACTTTTATTGGTAGGTACTAAATTTCTTTATAATCTACCTAAGAATATTCTTTGTGAAGAAAAATATACCAGTTTCACCCGCCTTAAAGAATACCTATTGACTCATCCTATCTTTTCAAGTAAAGATTTTTTAAATTCAAGGAATGTAAAATAAAAAAAAAAGAATTATTAGTGTCATTGTCATACAACAACATAAAACAGTTTTATTTGCAACCATCATATTTTAATTAAGGACATTAGTTATAAGAAATGTGACTCTATTCAATGTATTCATGTAAATACAAAAAAATGAATAAAGATTATTTGATTTGATTTGATTTGAACAACAGCTATTATTTCCCCTCAAGGAGTACTAAGGCTAGAGAAAAGCTGTCTTCAGACGTCGGCTGCTGTCGTGGAAGAAGTCGTAGTCCTCCGAGATCAGGTTTCCGAGCCTGTGCAGATGCGGTATGGTGCTATTTAAGTCATAGTTTGTAGAGCACGAGGTATGGCAGAAGAGATCAGTGAAGCGGGTTCGGCCAGGAACTCTAAGGTTGAGTATTCCAGTGAGATCAGGAGAGTCCAGCTCACCAACGAGAATCTTCCGAAGAAAGACCAAGTTGTGCATCTGCCTTCTCACCAAGAGGGTACTCAGGCCCAGTGACTCCTCTACATGCTGGAGCGGCACATTCAGGTAGTCGTAGCCAATCTTCACTCCCACGACATGCACGAACCTGTCCTG